TCTGTCTCTCTTTCTGTCTCTCTCCCTCTCTCTGTCTCTCCATCACTCAGTCTCTCCCACGAACACGATCTCTCTCTCTCTGTCTCCCTCCCTCTATCTCTCTGTATGTCTCTCTCCTTCTCTCTGTCTCTCCACGTCTCTCTCTCTCTGTCTCCCGCGGTGTCTCTCTCTCTCACTGTCTCTCTCTCTGTCTCTCTCTGTCTCACTCTCTCCTTCTCCCCCTCTCTCTGTCTCTCTGTCTCCTTCTCCCCCTCTCTCTGCCTCTCTGTCTCTCTCTCTCTGTCTCTCTCTCTCTCTCTCAGACAGAGATGCTGAGGTTAGTTTTGTGTCAGACGTTTCCAGTTTGAGCAGTGGACTGTGTGAAACCACCAGATGATAATCCTGTGCTCGGTTCTGCTTTGGAAACTGCGCTCCTCTCTCTCTCACACGCCAGCAACAGGAAGTGAGAGCACAAGGGACCTCAAACCAGAAGCAGTTCGAACGTGGCCATTCAGCGCCACCTCCCTGTGCTAGCCCCCTGAGGAAGTCCATCTATGGAACGGAGGGTCAGCGCTGAGGGAGTGGGGCGCTGTCGGAGGGTCAGGGCCGGGGGAGCGGGGCGCTGTCGGAGGGTCAGGGCCGAGGGAGCGGGCGCCGTCGGAGGGTCAGGGCCCAGGGAGCGGGGCGCTGTCGGAGGGTGAGGGCCGAGGTCAGTGCGGGGCTGGGTTTGGAGATAACTAACAGCCCGTTTCTCTGGATCATTCTCAGGTCTCGATGCCGTCTGTAAACCTCAAGGTTCCTGTGACGACTGCATCATCTCCCACCCCGACTGTGCCTGGTGTAAGCAGCAGGTTCGTGTTAGCACCTCATCCTAGCACTGACCCTCCCTGAGCGCCGGCTCCCTCGGCCCTGACCCTCCGACAGCGCCCGCTCCCTCGGCCCTGACCCTCCGACAGCGCCCGCTCCCTCGGCCCTGACCCTGCGACAGCGCCCGCTCCCTCGGCCCTGACCCTCCGACAGCGCCCGCTCCCTCGGCCCTGACCCTCCGACAGCGCCCGCTCCCTCGGCC